AGAGTGCAAGCCTTTAGCAAAAAAACAAAAGACAGTGACCCAGGACTGCCAAAAACAACAAACAAACCTAGCACCATCCATTCTACTAAGAGGTTAATACTCAAAATGCAAAAGAAACTCAATAGCAAAAAAGCAAGTAACTTATTTTAAAATGGGCAAAAGACCTAAAAAGCACTTCCCTGAAGAAGTCAAACAAGTAGCTTGCAGATTTATGAAAAAACTGCTTAACATCACAACTATCAGGGAAACAACAACCTAAGCCACAGTGAGATACCATCTCTCACCTATGAGAATGGCTATTGTCAAAAAGATAAAGACTAACCAATGGTGACAAAGGTTTGAAGACAAGGGAATCTGCACACTATTGATGTGAATGTAAGTTGATATAGCCCTGGTAGAAAATAGTATGGAAGTTCCAAAAAAAAAAAAGCATCACCATATAACCAGCATTTACAGTTCTGGGTACGCATCCAAAGGAAATGAAGTCAATATGAGAAACATTTGCATTCCTGTGTTCATTGCACTATTCACAATAGCCAAGATATGGTTTCAACCTAAGTCTCCACTGAAAAATTTATGTATTAACAACAAAAGTGATACTTATACTTACACACACTGGAATACTATTCACCTGAAAAGGAAGGAAACCTTGACGTTATGACAATATGGATGATCCTGGAAGACACTATGCTAAGCGAAATAAGACAAGCCCAGGAAGACAAATACTACTCCATACACACATGGGATTGAAGAAGTCCAATTGCAGAGGCTAGGAATGGAAAAATGATTACAGAGGTTGGAGATGGATAGATGTGGTCAGTTATTGGAAATGAGTAAATTCTGAATAACTTACTTACAAAACAACTCAAGAGAGAGTAAAGACTTAAACTTAATGCACCAAATTGTATCTTTGCTCACTTCAAAAAAGGTTAACCACATGAAGTGAGAGGTATGTAAATTAGCTTAAGCATATTGGCCATTTCACAATATATGTGGAATCATCACATTGTACAACACAAATATAGGCAATTCTTAGTTTTTAATTATACTCAGTAATGCTGGGAAAAGGCATGAAATTCATGTGCTTGTAGTTGCATGGGACTTCTTTGGAAAACTCCACCAAAACTGAGTGACAGTAATTAAGAGTTCAGAGCAGAAGTAGAGGGGGATAAAGGGTACAGGTATAAGGGAGAATCTTGTCTCACTGTTTGCAACTTCGATCCTTCTAAAAATATGCTGTTTGCACTGTTTAATTATTCCAAGATGACATATGTTGAACCTCTTGTGCAGGCTGATCACAACTTACCTTGCCAGTAAGAGGAGCAAAAAATGTTTATTGCTCTGTTTAACACAGTATCTTTTTTCAGTTTTTCTTTTATCTTTATTAGCATCCATTAGTTGTACAACAGAGGTTCATTTTGACATGTCCATATATACACATAATGTACCATGATCAGTCACCCACCCCTCCATCACCCTCCCTCATCCCTTTTCTTCCCCTACCTCTCCTCCTTCACAAACCAATCCCCACAACCTTCACTGTTCAATTTTCACACATGTTCTGAAAGATTTTGACCATATTCACCTCCTTCACCCTTTTCCATTCTACCTCCTGGCTCCCACAGTACCCACAGAAGGAATCTCTTTTATAGTTCTGTCTTTCATTTTTATAGGGTATGCTAATTGTTCAAAGGGGTTTCACCATGTTATTTCACATGCATACATAGTACTTTAATCAGATTGGCTGATTAATGTACTTTCTCTAGCCTCATTTTTCTAGCCCCTTTTTCTAGCCCATTCTTTAGCCCCATTTTCCTCTATTATTCAACAGCTCTTAGTGAGTTACTTTTTTGCTATCATCATTCACAAATGTCATGTCTTCAGTATTGTTCACCCTCTAGTAATATCTTCATAATGGCTTTGGATGTGAAAAGGAAGGCTGCAGAGGAAAGGAGGGTAGAGGGTTAATGTTTCCCTATACAATAAAGTGAGAACTTTGTGTTTCTGAAGATAATTATGGAATCAGAGAAAGGAAGTAAGAGAGAGTGAGGGGAAAATATACAAAAGGTCTGGCCCTACATAATGAGGATTGCAAGAAGAAATTATGGCACCAAAATATTTCCAGAAAAAGAGAGGTTCTAAACATGCCTCCTACTGTGTGCTATCTTGTGTCTCTCTGTCTCTGTCTCTCTCTCTCTCACACACACACACACACACCTGAACTAAGGTCAATCTATGCCACACAATGACACATAGAGCTTCAAAGAATGGAGTGTGCCAAGTGGGGTCACATCAATTGCCAGGAAGAGAACCACAGATGAGAGGTAAGTGTCAGAGCAGAGAGCTGTGATGAATTGGGGTACAGTGCAGATTTGCCTGGGAAATATACTCTCTGCAATCCTACGAAATTGTGGGTGGAGACACTTCTACAGAATACTAGACAGAGACTCAATATTTCACTTGGATATCCTGATCTCTGAAGCCTAGCAAACTTGGATCATGTATCACACATCCAAAGTAAGTTACTGACTCCTATCTCTTTCCTTCTCCATGTTTTCTCTCCTTCAATAGTAGCTAAACATCTAAACCATCTCAAGATTTTGATCTGGCTGATCCTCTGATACCCAAGAGAAACAGTGATGCCTGCCCTGGCTCCACAATTAGGCAAATAAAGAAAGTCAAAGATGATTCAACCCAATGTACCCTTGTCAGGTGAGACATGCTTTCCTCCACTCTGATCTTTTAATACCCTTCAGCTTAATCAAGCCCTAAATATAAACTTCTTCATGCATCCCTGCCCCAATGTAGCTACAGACCAACGTGAGATCAGTCACATGGTGACCACATCACAGACAGAAACAGATTCAGGAGCAAATGCCTCCAACCCAACACTACCAAAACTTCTCTCCTCTCAAAAATAAAAAATGTCAGACTTTCTTGCTCTCCCTTTGAATCCATATTACACAGATCTCTCTCACTGAATTGTCTTGCATTCAGGGCTCATCTTTTCCTGGAGTAAGTCTTTCCGACATCCAGCCCCTCAGAGTCAAGAGCCCCTTTTCTTCCAGGATATGACAAAGAAAGGTCTGTTTCCTCAGTCCTGACAGCCCTGTCCCAAGACTTATGCCCACTGACACATTTCCGTACAGCGCCCAGGCTCACCAAACCCACATCCTGGCTTCCATCAGCCATTTATAAAGCAGCCACATCCCTAAGCCACAACACCCTGAGCCCTTGAAGGCTAATTCTGTGGAAGAAACTCTTGCCCCAGCAAAAGAGCCTTTTGCCTGAGCCCAGAGAGGGGAGCTATCACAGCCTGAGCTGTCCTCAAGCACTAAGACCACAAACCATCCTTCATCTCCTTAGAGGCAGAACCTTTTTCTGCTTCCTCTTATCCTTGTGTATTGACCTTCCATTTCCACATCTTTCCAAAGATACACAAAGCCTTTGGGAGTCAAGCAGAAAACAGACAGTAGCTGTACTGTTCCCATTTCCCTCAGGATGGACCCCACAAAGCGGGGGGAGGGGAGCAGCCATTCATATCTAGACATTAACCATTAGGCAGAGACACTCTGCCAATTTACCTTAAATTTACATTCTCCTCTTCTAACCAGTGCCTTATATTGCCCTGAGTGGTGGTGTCCATTCTCCTTAAATATTTTTGAGGGGAGGGTGTGTGTGTGTGTGCGTGCGTGTGTGTGTGTGCGTGCGTGCGTGCACACGCGCGCGCGTGTGTGCATTCTCCTTAAATATTTTTGAGGGGAGGGTGTGTGTGTGTGTGTGTGTGTGTGTGTGTGTGTGTGTGTGCGTGCATGTGTGCATTCTCCTTAAATATTTTTGAGGGGAGGGTGTGTGTGTGTGTGTGTGTGTGTGTGTGTCCTGGAGCTTTAACCCAGACCCTGGGCACTGTCCATGAGCTTTTGTTCTCAAGATTAGTGCTCTACCACTTGAACCACAGCTCCACTTCTGGCTTTTTTAGTGATTAATTGGAGATAAGAGTCTCAGACTTCCCTGCCCAGGCTGGTTCTGAACCACTTTAGGATTACAGGTGTCAGCCACTGGCATTTTCTTCTTAAATTCTTAATTCCAAAGTATCCTAACTCAAGAGTTTGGAAAAGACTCCAAGGTCTGGAAACAACAAAGTGTCTGATCACTGGAGGAGGATTTAGGCTACTCATCTCTCCAGGAGAGTCTATCACAAGCAGATCATGCAGATATCCAGGAGGGCACTTAGTGGAAAACAGGCTCTGAGTGGAACCACTTTCAGCACCCTGGCCCTCCTTATTTATTCCACTGATAGCTGCTTTCCAACTGCCTCCTCCTACCCCAGCAACCAAAGCAGCAAAATTCACAAGGTCTTTAAGAAGAACTGAAACAACTGTGTTCTCTCCACTAGAATAATAGACAAGATCACACTTTCCTTTTGCCAAGATGAGAACCATTGTTAGAGTTTCCTTCCCTCCCACCTATCTGCCCACCTCACCCCACAGTGCACCATCAACAGTGTTTGATTCCTCTGAAATGCCATCTGGGAGAGACTGTCTTCACAAATATTTAAGGCTCTGATTCATTAAAAAGCACACCCTACTTGTGATTTAGAAAATGCTTTGAAAGACAGTTATTCTCCAAAAATGCATTCCTAAACATCCTCAGACCACTCTTGCTGGCTCTAGCTCATTCCTTCCCCCAATAAGATCCTAACCCATCTGCACGGGCACCCTGAGAAAGGAAAGGAAGAAAGCAATAGCATAGTGGTCTTATCATGCAAGCCAGCTGATGCTCAAATGCCAGCCATTTCTTCAGCAGTACAAAAAGGCAACCCAAGAAGTTATCAAGTAAAGCCAAACTTTGGGTGGTGATTCCACATGTCTGGGTATGTGTGTTGAATAACAGGACACTCAGTGCAGAGATGGAACCTTTGACTTTTCTCTGCAGGCCCTTATGTCCCCAGGGGAACTGGGGCTCCCAGGCCTGGACTGCATCTTGTGAAGGTTACATACCTCAGAAGGTTGAAGCTCAGATCCAGCCTCTTTGCAAAATGTCCACAGTCCTTGCCAAGGTGTTCTGGAATTTCTCTGCAGTCTTGGCCTATGTAGGACACCTGGAAATTAGATGAAACAGAAACAATGTGGCAAACAGAAATTACCCAGCCACTTACAACCTGAGTCATTGATCTGATGATTGCTTCAGCAAGTTTCCATGCAAGCTTCTAGGCACAAAAAGCTACAGAGTGATTGTTTCATGATCCCATCCGGTTTAGGAACTCTGCCAACAGCTGCCCCTTCCTGGCACAGTTAGCATGATGGGAAACCAATCCTGGCACAATGGAAATTAAGACTGAAATTGGTCAGATTCAGTTGTCCAAAAGAACCTCAGTGTTAGAGCTTGTGGAAGTCATTTCACCAATCAGCCTCTCTGGCTTGCACTGGGGCCTTTCCAACAGCTGCTTCTCTGTGATCCCTCTCCCAACTATCCAATAAGACATAGGTCCCCACAGACACAGCACAGAACTGGATTAAGGAGCGCTTGGCAAGAAAATATCCCCAGACCACTACTCCTGTCACCATTGTGTATAAAATGTCCTCCACACTCACAGTAGAGTTGATTCAAAGGCAACAGGACAATACTATGTGACCACAATTTCTTCTGTGGCTGGATGACATCATTGTCTCCTTAGGCATTCTTTTGATTTTTTATTTTATTTTACCTGTTTATTTAAGTACCTCCCAGGTCCTCTGACTGCAAGATGATTCCTTGGGTTTCTCATGTCTCAACTATCTAGTTTTTTTTTCTTTTTTTTTTCTTTTTTTTTGTCTGTCATGGGGCTTGAACTCTGGGCCTGCGCGCGGTCCCTCAGCTCTTCAGCTCAAGGCAAGCACTCTACTGCTTGAGCCACAGTACCACTTCCCGTTTTCTAGTGGTTTATTGGAGATAAGAGTCTCATGGACTTTCCTGCCCAGACTGGCTTTGAACCATGATCCTCAGATCTCAGCCTCCTGAGTAGATAGGATTACAGGTATGAGCCACCAGTGCCCGGCAACTATCCAGTTTTTGCAATTCATTTTTTTTAGTCCAATGCTGGGGCTTGAACTTGGGGCTTCATGCTCTCACTTCATTTTTGCTCAAGACTGGTACTCTACTACTTGAGCTATGCCTCCATTTCTGGATTTTTTTGGTAATTAATTGGTGATAAAGAGTTTCACAGCTGGGAGCCAGTGGCTCATTACCTATAATCCTAGCTACTCAGGAGGCTAAGATCTGAGGATCACAGTTCAAAGCCAGCCTGGTCTGGCTGATAAGAGTCTAGAAGACTCTTATCTCTAATTAACCACCAGAAAACCAGAAGTGGCACTATGGTTCTAAGTGGTAAAGCACTGACTTTGAGTAGAACTCAGGGACAATGCCCAGGTTCAGAGTTCAAGCCCCACAACCAATCAAAAAAAAAAAGTTTCACTGGTTTGTCTGCCTCTGCTGGCTTTGAACCAGGATCCTCTTCCAAAATTGGAAAAAACAAACCCATATGTCAGAGAGAGCCAATGCACCACAATCCATGATATATTCCTAAAGTATGCTACCTTTAACCCCCAGGTGAAAATTCAGACCTGGTCACCTTTGTGCAGCCTTGATCCTGGCTCCTACAAATCTGCATTCTTCTCCACAGATAAATGACATGAGAATGAGCAAGAGCTGCTCCAGGGTGTTATGTTTCCAAATAAGGAACAAAAATATAGCAACCATCTCATGCTTGGGTATCAGACAGAACCACAACAATGATTCAATTGAACCATGACTCTGACCAATACCCAACCATTGTAGAACTACAAAACATAACATCATGTGGTTCAACCTAATGTAAGCCATAGTGCACCCCAACACCCTTCATTTAATGATTACCTACCTTTCTCCCATGCAATGGGGAAAAACTGTATTCACTGTCTTTCCATTCATACACAAAGTGCACAAAGTATGGTACTAAACACCTACAACTCCAGCACTCAGAAGTCTAAGACAGGAGAATAATGACTTTAGGGCCAGTCTAGGCTACATAACAAGTTCAAGTCTAGCCTGGATTATAGAAAGGCCCCAGAAAAGGGGACGGGAAAAAATGAGGGGAAAAATGGGTAGAAGAGGGCAGAGAGGAAGAAAGAAAACAGGAATTTTTTTAAAAGCTGAGTTTAACAAAAAAAATAATAATAATTTCGGCTTGGGAAAATGAAGTCTAAAAAGGGCTCTACATTCAATCTATCCGTCTCTCCCCTTTAAACATGGGTCATTTAGTGAACTGTGGCTCTAGCCTTGAGTGAAAAAGTTCAGGGACAGCTTATAGGTCCTGAATTCAAGCCCTATGACCAACAACAAAAAAAAAAAAACACAAAAAAGCATGGGTTCCATCTTTCTTTAGAGTTGTTTAGGTAGTACATTAAGTTCTATGTCTAAGATGAACTAGAAAAACCAAAAACCGCTAGGCACCGGTGGCTCACACCTGCAATCGTAGCTACTCAGGAGGCTGAGATCTAAGAATCACAGTTCAAAACCATCCTGGGCAAGAAAGTCCGTGAGACTCTTATCTCCAGTTAACCACCAGAAAACAAAGTGGTGCTGTGGCTCAAGTGGTAGAGCTCTTGCCTTGAGTTGAAGTGCTCAGGAACAGCACCCAGGCCCAGAGTTCAAGCCCTACGACCAATATAAAAAGAAAAACCAAACACCATGAGAAGATGGTAGCTTTAAAGCTCCGATCAATCTCTGAGGAGATTTTCTCAATCAGCAGCTTTATCTAAGTTCACACTGACCCAGGACCTATAGGGCTCACTGGAAAACCCATCCATTCATCCCAACATGTACCCCTATTTTATACATATTATTGTTTCTCAAGAGCTCTGTGATAGCATAGCAGAGAAGGAAGAAAGAGTCTTGGACAGAATGGTCAATGACTAAAATCTATTAGGAATCTGGGTTGTCAAAACTTTTATCTTTTATAAAAGAAAATTAAGACTCCAGAGCCCAGCTCTATGTAATGTAATTTCTTAGTGATAGAACTTAGTCCAAGTTCTGTACCAGGGCTTCTTATTTGGGACCACAAATTCAGGAGAATATGGTTGGATCAACAAAAGTCAACAATGCATATATCATGATGCTTTGGCTTGAAAAGGTATCTTCTGGCTGAGATTAAACTGCCTCTCAGCCCCACACAGAAGGCCCAAGAAGGATGCCAGAGCCTAGGAAAGACAAGAATATTTTCTCCCTTTTTTCTTCTGTGGTTTTCCAAATTTTCTCCATTTTTTTCCTCTGTGGTTTCCCAAATTTTCTCCTTTTTCTTCTGTGGTTTCTCAAACAGCACTACTGAGGATAGCATTCAGATAGATTATTTCTGACAAAAATTTCATTAGCTTTATTATGTGATCTTAGCATAATAGCCTAAAAACATAACCTGCTCCCATTCCAGATATGAAGACTCACCTCCAAAATTTTGCATGAGAAAGAACTTGGGAAGCCATGCTTGGACAACTCTATAGCAAGCCGCAGATTTTAGATGTCAGTTAAGTCCACCAAACTAAGGGCTCAAATCAACTGGAAAGGCTTAAAATCAGAAAGCCTCCACTGCTAGGCATTGAGGAAGAACTAGAAGACAAACTTGCATAAGATGTACTTCTGAAATGTGAAGAGGAAGGGTAGATGAATACAGTCATTATATTCAATGTACATATGTGAAAATGAAACTACATAACTTGAAAGGATGGGTGGAGTTAAGAAAGATAGAGAAAAATGATGGAAGGGATAACATTGATCAAGATGCAGTTGATCAAGATCAGTTTATAAACTGATTTGTTGAATTGAAACCTCTTTGTACATCTACTTAAGGAGGAATTTTTTTAATGTTAAAGAGCTGAGCATTAGTGGCTCATACCTGTAATCCTACTCAGATGGCTGAGATCTAAGAATCATGGTTCAAAGCTAGCCTCGACCAAAAAGTCCATGAAACTCTTATCTCCAATAAACTACTCAAAGAAGGTAGAAGTTGACCTATGGCTTGAATGGTAGAGTGCTAGCAAAAAGTAGCTCAGGGATAGCACACAAGCTCTGAATTCAAGCCCCAGGATAAGCAAAACAAGAGTTAAAGAAAAAATGTGCTTACTCAGCCAGCCACCAGTGGCTCATGCCTGTAATCCTAGCTACTTAGGAAGCTGAGATCTGAGGATCACAGCTTGAAGCCAGCCTGGGCAGGAAACTCCATGAGACTCTTATCTCAAATAAACCACCAGAAAACCAGAAGTGGCACTGTGGCTCAGCTGATAGAGTGTTTGCCTTGAGCAAAAGAAACTTAGGGACAGTGCCCAGGCCCAGAGCTCAAGCCTCAGGACCAGTAAAAAAAGAAAGAACCAAAAGACAGATCTTTCAGGACATCAGGAAGCTTCTTGGCACAAAGACCAACTGATGCAAGAGAAAAATCAGACCAAAAGTAATTTTTTTTTAGCAAAAAGAACAAGGAAGACAGAGATGACAAATCTTAAATGGCATAGAAACAAAGGCATATCCAAGTCAAGAAGTCACTACCTTTAGTCAATCCTAGATTGAGACTGAATTAAAGATCAAACGTTTCACATAATTTGTACCCCAAGATTTTTCACCTTGAGTGGAAAAATGGGAAGGAGCAACCATATCAGACAAATGAAAATCTATCAAGTTAAAAAGATCCCTAGAGGGCTGGGAAGGTGGCTCAGTGGTAGAGCGCTTGCCTTGCATGCCTGAGGCCCTGGGTTCGATTCCTCAGCACCACATAAGCAAAAAGAA